AAAAAAAAAAAATAAAAAAAAAAAAAAAAAAAAAAAAAAAAAAAAAAAAAAAAAAAAAAAAAAAAAAAAAAAAAAAACAACAATATGAAAAAAAAAATAAAAAATAAAAAAAAAATTTAAAAATCAAACTCCTCATTCAAATTTATATTATCTATATGATTTTCTAATTCAATAAGCCAAACACGCAACTGGTTTCTCTCCTGAATGACTTGCCAATGCTCCTCATCTCTCCTCCAATTTTCTTCTACTGACTCTGTGTTCCAAAACCGAATTTCTTCCAACTTCGCTTTCAAAAATGCAACTCTTCTTCTTAAGAACCTGACTTTATACCACAACCTAATATAAATTACAAATTAATATCTTCTTTGAGGCTTTTATAAATATTTATAAATATTTACCTTCTATTTTGGTCCTCACCAAAAGCTTCATAGAGGGCCTCATTTTCATTACAACAAGCACAATGAATAGCGCAAGAGATACGAGTACGAGGCATTTTATTATTAGTATTATTATCATTATTATTATTATTGGTTATTTATTGTTGAAGTTGATAAAAAAAAAAAACTATTATTATTACTATATATATATATAATAGAAATTTTAACAAAAAAAAAAAAAAAAAACTTCTTCAACAATATGTTTAATTTAGTTAAAAACCTTGATATTATTTTCTAGATTTTTGTATTCTGTTTATTACTTTCGTCGGCACAATGTTATAGTGGAGGATTGTGACAATCATATGCGAGTGATGGAGCATATGATACTTTTTTTTATTATTTTGCTTGTTTGTTTATTTTATTTTTAGATTATCTCTATTTTTGTTTATTTTTTTGAACATTATGCTAAGAACAATTAGTCAAAATAAAGTTGAAGTATGTGGTGTTATATTTGGTAATTTTGTATTATTTTTGGTATATTTTAATAAGATATACAAATTTGGATAACAGAAATCACTAGAACAATTATAACACGTAATGAAAGCGAAGAAAATAATGGAGCAAAACAAATTTATTGGAACAATATAAAAACTTAAAGAAGAATAAGGAAAATTTTCATTGTTTACGGGAAAATTAAAAAAATTTATGAAAACTTTTAGAAATTTTTAGAAAAAAGAAGAGATTATAATGAAGACAACAAAAAGATCTCTATAAAAAGAGCTCATCTCTGCCTTGCTTTACTAAAAACAAAAATTAAGAAAATACAAACTCAAAACCAAAAAAGCAAAAAAAAAGGACCCAAACTAAGAAGATCTAGAAGAAGAAGAAACCAAGAAAAAATGGCTCAACTCTCTGGAATAACTAGACTAATGGCTGAACAACTTCAATATGAATTACAAAAATTGGATCCAACTTCAATTATAATAATTACTTCCAAAGAAATTATTTATCAAGGCAAAACTCAAGTAATGCAAGCCCCTTTGAAGCTTACTGATACTCAGAAGATTCGACAAAAATTGCCTCTATATATCAAGGACCTTCAGAAACCTATTACAAGTGCTAGCCTACAAGACATGATAGAAGTTTTTGGCCATTCCTGGGAAGATAAGGTGTGATTTATTTGCAAGAAGATTAAACACTTCGAGAATGAAGATAAGGCTATTTATTGATCTTTAGAATGGTGCTATCAACTTGGTAAACTTCTTTGTATAAGAAGTTGGAGCAAGAATACTTTAAACTTTTTAATACAAAAAGTTGGCTTTTGAAAAGGACCTAAAATATTTCGAGTAGCTAAAAGGACCTTTGAGCTATACAATGCTCAAGGAATCTGGAATCTGTACTAAGCAGAAAAGATAAGTTACAGAGTCTTAGCTTGTATGTATAACTCTGATTTTGAAATGCTAAAACAAGAAGCTTATTGTGCCTACTTAGAAGAAGCTGGCGATTCTACTATTTCTGACAAGTTTTAAAAATATTTGCAGAAGCTCATATTTTAAGGAGAGGATGATGTTACTAATATTATCTGACTTTTCTTTTTTGTATTTTCTTTTGTTATTTGTTTTTATTTTGATATTAGTTTAGTATTGTTTGTA